AACCAGAAGGCTGGCGGTTCAAACCCACCAGCCACTCCTCGGAAGGAAGGTTGGGCAATCTACTTCTGGAGTGATACCGCCTCAGAAACCCAAGGAGGGGTCGCTAGGAGTCGGGTCCGACTTGATGGCACATAACAACAAAACAGCACCAGCAGCGGTGTCTTGCCTGAACGGCCTGTGATGGGCCGAGAACCCCGTGGACCCCGTTCTGCTCTGACATGGAATCGCCACGGTCGGGGTTGACCCGAGGCCGTCGGTTTTCAATGATGCTGCGCCCGTAGACGGCGCCGTGGTGGCGGGGGCAGGGAGGACCCGGCCCAGCCCGGAGCCCCCAGGCCCAGTCAGTGGTCAGGGGCACCCACACGCCCCGCTCTGCCCTCACCCCCTCTTTGCCCATCCAGGTGGCTCTGGGGCGCTGGCCAGGGAATGTGCCGCCCTGTACCCCGAGTGCAGGGTCGTGGTGTTCGACACGCCGGACGTGGTGTGCGCCGCGAGGAGCCACTTCTCGTTTCCGGGGGCGCAGCAGGTCAGCTTCCAGGAAGGTAGGCTGTGTGCACAGGGAAAGATGGCAACGTTGGCGGGCCGGCTTGTGCCGCTGGGCGCCTGGCGTGGCTTCCTCCCGCCCCAGGGGATGCCCCTCGGCTCTCGGCTCCGTGTGCTGTTCGTGGGGCGCCCGGCTGCTGCGGGCAGGGCGCCCCGAGAGGCTGGTGCTCGCCCTCACCCAGACGGGCCGTGGAAGAAAGTCCTGGCCGCCCTTCTGTTTCTTTCCGAATGTTTCCTTGCGGTGGAGGCAGAAGCGAGTCCGTGTCCCGTTCGCCATTTCCTGCCTGTTTTCTTTCATGGCATTGGTTTCGGTCATCTCCACGCGACAGCACTCTCCCCGCTGCCCCTGGGCCCCGGGGCCTGGGCAGCACTGGGCGTGGAGTGGACGGTCGCTCGCTGCACATTGACCAGGTCCATGGGTGTCTTAGCTGGGGTCCACCGCAGACACAGGGACAGGGGCGATCTGTCTGTCTGTGTTCCTGTCCACCATCCAACTGTCTGTCCACCGGTTGTCTGCCCATCTTCTGCCTCACCTGTGCATCACCTGGCCGTCCGTCCATCCAGTTACCCAGCAGCCCCATCACGTGTCTCTCATCTACCCATCTTCCATCTGTCCATCCATCCGTCCATCTAATTATCATCTATCTGCCTGCTGACCATCTGTCCATCTGCCATTTCTCCATCCATCCATCCAGTGATTTATCATCTGTCTGTTTATCATCTATCCGTCTGTCTCACCCATCCGTCTGTCCATCCATCTGTCTGTCCATCCGGCTAGTGACCTATCATATATCTGTCTACCTATTTATCATCTATCTTCTGTCACACCTATCCATCCACCCTTCCTTCCATCCATCCATCCATCCTTCTATCCATCCACCCATCCATCCACCCACCCATCCACCCACCCATCCATCCACTCATCCATCCATCCACCCACCCATCCATCTACCCACCCATCCATCCATCCACCCACCCATCCATCCATCCACCCATCC